ACGTTAAACGCTTTGCTGTTAGACCACAAACTTGTTGCAATCGAACGTAGTAACTAATTTATTCACAGATTTCGTTGCAACATGGACTGTATTCGACCCGTTAAGTCAAGAAACTCCAACCTACCAAAATAGTGATTGTACTGACGAAATCTGATTTGAAACTGTCCATTTCTTTAAGGCATTTATCTCAGGTGATCTCATCTTTTGTCTGAAACCGCTGTTTGAACTCATTGGCTTTTCTGGCATTTTTATCCGGTAGGTCATGACAACTTTATGTCAGAAAAAGAATATATTAAGTGTAGTTAAGGGCCGTCGGCTGACTTCGCGTCGGGAGCCTTCTGAAAATCCCGTAAACCACATAGTTTAACTGAATTGGCGACAGAATTCTGTTGAATACTAAACGGCCGGCAGAGATTATTTAGCACCTCTACTTATACCTTGGTGTGGCAATAGCAGGTCTTCAATACACAGAATATTTTCCGTAATATATCGTCTTACTTTATTATCCTGCCTCGCGAGCTCAGTTGGGCGGAGTAAACGCTACAGCGAAGTTAACGAGGCAGGTAGTCATTCGTTGATAAGTGCTTTTATTGAGTTCACGCATTCTCCGTAATTGGGTCATGGTGACTGAGAACTTCAATATTGAGCATTTGGTCCTGCTCTTTTCTTCCACCCCAGCGACAGAGTAAAACCATATTTTGGCGTTCTGTGACTAAACTTCATTCGATTGTCGTACTTTCACATACGTCCTCTTGCACGAGACACTGGACGCGGGTAAGAGGTAAATTCACAGACATGCGAACGAAAATATGGTTTGACCCATAGGTGTTATTACCTTCATCATAAGGCACCTATCTGCTACTGTTAACCCAGCTACAAAATCTAATTCAAATGCTAGCATAGTCAGTCAGTCTGACTGGTTATAAAATTATTGTTGGCATACCAGGTTAGCAGATACTTGCGGCATGCCAACTACCGATTATGGTCATCACGACTCAAACTCCGTTTGCTATCGTCCCATAGATAAATAGCTTGTTATTGGCCAATTAGGTTATTGTTTGAAGAGTATCCTACCCCCACCCAGTCGTATCAAGCAGCTGTTATAATCAGCAGCTCACGACAGGGTCGTCTTTGAACCAGTTCTTGTACCTATCTCCCTCAAACTTGAGTCTAGGATTCAGGCCATACATTACAACTTTTGTGATAGTGTAAAGATAATTAAAGTCCAGAGGTTACCCTTACAATACTTTGGTTTTCTTTTTCCTCTTTCCCGGAGACTGGGTACTTTGTCGTGATAACAAAAACAATCTACAAAGTTAGCCGTCTACGCTTCGTGTGAAGTTCTGATAGTGCTCTGTTAATACCGGGCCTCATGGGTGATGCCCTAGACGAAAGCTGGGGCCAGATCAGTGTACGACACGCCTTATTCGGGCTGCGCACCTATATAAAATTTCAGGGCAGTTGGTGTTACACCTGCCACCAGTTCCTAGTCCTAGTATCAGGTGGCTGGCTATTTCAGACAGTGCACATATGCTTGAGTAACGGAAGAGAGAATGAGACCCAATGCATATTCTTTACTAAAAACAATCTAACGTGCTTTTACACTATTACGGTTTGAAAGGCTGTTAAGTGACTGAATAACTCTATCCTTCTCTCAGGACGGAAAGTCAGGCTGCAAGTACTCCTTTTGAATCTGTCCTCCATGCCGCTCCCACTTAGATGCGATCCGAGCCGTCCCTTTGTTATTTGTGTGAAAACCTCGCCTATCCTGCGCGGACTCAGCGCGTTTGGCACGCGCATATGGGACTGTTTAGCCTCATCAGTCACTCTG